GAAGTCTAATCGACCTGAATTCCTTAATGTTCACTGCGCCTTCAATCTTTGGAATGAGGGTTATAAAGGTAGTATTCAGACTCCTCTGCAAAGAACCCCTTTCATAGAAGTCCTGGAAAACATTCAGAATGTCCCGACTCACCAAATCCCAACAATTATTATAGAAAAGATTTGTAAGATCATCAGGCCTTGGAGACTTCTCATCAGCCAACAACTTAATTGCTGCTTTTATTTCCTCCTCCGTGAAGGATCTTTCAATAAGAGCTAATTGCACATCACTCAACTGATTAAAAGAAAGGGACCTAGGAAAAGGTCTGAAGAACCAAGACTCCTTGTACAACTTTTTATAAAAGCCGGTAGCCACAAGCTTCATATTTGTCTCAGAGACACCCACCCTACCCTCTCCCTCCAGCCTGGTTATTACAAAGGCTCTAGCTCTTGCATTTTCCATTTTGTGAAAAAAAAATGAGTATTTCTGTCCCCCTCTTTCAGCCAAGCCACTTTAGCTCTTTGCCTCCATTTGATTTCTTCTGATACTGCCAATTTATCAAACTTCATCTTTGCCTGAGATCTTTTTAGTCTATGTTCCGCAGAAATAGGACCCAATTCTTCAGCTGAGTCAATTTCCTTAATGGTACTCAGGAGAGCTTTCTTTTCAGTATCTAAACACATATTTTTCTCCAATTTCCAAATCTTTAATCTTGCTTTGATGGCCCCCAATTTTTTTGCCAAAATGAAAGAACTGGTACCTTCTACCTGCAGATCATCCCAAATAGACTTCAACAAAGGAATGAGAGTGGCATCCTCAAACCAAGCATTCTCTAATTTGAAAGAGACTTTTGCTCTAACTCTGACACCACAAAGCAGCTGAATTGCAATGTGGTCTGAAACTGGCCTAGGAAGGGCAATCTGCTTGAACTCTGGAAAGAGATCTTCCCAATTAGAAGTAACCAAAAACCTGTCCAGCCTCACAAGAGTAGGGAAATCTTGGTTGTTGGTCCAAGTAAACCGACTACCGTGAAGGGGTAAGTCATGAAGTTCACATCAGTTAATGAACTCAGCAAACTGAACCATATCCCTAGATCTTCTCCCTCTAGAACTTCTCTCCTCCACTAACAGAGTGACATTAAAATCACCCCCAATAACCCAAGGATAAGAGAAGCTTCCCCTCGCCATGGCCAGCTCCTCCCGCAGACTTCGATCATTAGGACCATACACATTAGTGATTTGACAAACATTACCATCTGCAAACTTCAAGACAAGGGAAATTGAAAATTTTCCAATGTGATAGGAAACCAAACTGCAAACCGTTGGATCCCACATACTCAGCAACCCCCCTGCACTTCCCATTGCTAACTTTGATCTCCACCAAACATCTCCCTCCCCCCAGATACTTCTAACCACTGCAGCCTCAACACAATCCAACTTAGTTTCTGAGCAACACAATTTTTTACCCTGATTTCTTTAGAGACTCACACACTACTAGCCTCCTTCTCCCCGACCCCAAACCCCTAACATTCCAAGAGAGCAACTTTAACTCCATTACAGACCACTAAAGCAAAGGAAAGCTTGGCACTCAAGCCTTCCCCCCCCCCCCGTCACTGCTACCTGCTTTGTCATTTAAACCCCAAGTCAGACGCATCATTTCTCTGCTTTTCTTAGATTTGTTACCCCCCTTCTTAGCTGCAACTTTCCCCCTTGCCAAAAGCACTCTTTGCTCCACTCCCTCCAAACATTTAATTGTCTCCTCTTCCAACCCTTCTAACGAAATCCCCAGAAACTTACCCAAACCCAGCATCTTAGAAGAGACCCAGGAAGAAGCACTTGAACTCACTGGTTGTTCACCTACCAGATTCGGCTAAACCAACATCAAACTACTGATCTCCTGCGTCTGCCCTTCCAATTCAGCAACCACATTAGTAGCACAAAGCGTCTGCACTTCCAATTCAGCACCCACATTAGTAGCACAAAGCTTGCTACCTTCCACCTGGGATCCAGCACCCTCTTGCTCACCTCCACCACCTTCAGCCTGAGAGTCTGAAGCCACCATTGTGATCGGATCCACATCAATCAGCTCGTCTTCCACTCGCAGAACAGCAAACTGGTTGGAACCCAGCAGAGATATAGCCCCAGTAGAAGTAGTCGGAGGGGACATTGGCTTCACAACATGCGAAC